TTCTGCAGATTTCTGAGTGAGATGTTTTCTGATTGCTTTCAAATTTCTTAACTGTATGTGTGCAATCTGACACTTCTTTTAAATATGGATGTCAAAACTTAAAGTGCTGGTCATCTGTACTCCAAGGTCTCTCACACTATCAACATAGTTGACTTCGACCCCACCAACATTGACACTGGAAATGTTCAATTTCTTCAGCTGATGTCTTGTACCATAAATGATGATTTCTGTTTTGCTATTGTTCAATTTTAACTTAAATCTGGTCATCCATGACACAATATCATTAAGACAGTCAGTGAGTGTTTGGCGGACGATTTCTTCGCTGTGATGGTCACCAGCTCTAATTTTAAATGCTACTTTATGATCGTCTGCATATCCATACAATTCCGCCGGATATTTCTGGACTATTTTGTTAAGGGCAGCTATATAGAGAGTAAATATCACCGGTCCAGCACAAGAACCCTTGGGAACCCCGAACCTCAGTGGTTCAGTATCCGATGATGACTGTTCAATGACAACTTTCATATCTCTGTTGGTTAAATAAGATTCGATCCACTTTAATGGAATACCCTGTATGGCAAAGTCTTTGCGTAGGATTTCAAGTAATATTGGTATATCGATAGTATCGAAGGCGGCGCTTAACTCAATCATTAGAACTATTGTCACATGGCGGCTATCAGCTGTTTCTAGCAGATCACTGTACATTTTCATCATAGCAGACTCAACACTGTGAAATTTACGGTATGCACTTTGGTAAGATGGTAACAAATTGTTGGACTCAATGTGGCTTGAAATTTGGTTCATTGCAGCTTTTTCAAGAATTTTCGACAAGAATGACAGGTTTGACACAGGCCGATAGTTTTTTCAATTCTAAGGGAAGGCCTTTCTTTTTCAAAAGGGGCGTGATAACAGCGCTTCTTCCACGTCTTTGAAAAACACCAGAAGACAATGACCGATTCACGATTTCTGTCACAACAGGTGCAAGCAAATGAAGATTTTCTTTCAGCTTTGGTGTTGGCATAACGTCCAACTCACATGTTGTTGACTTTGATTCACTCACAAGTTTTATTATGTCTTTTTCATTTTGTGGTATAAATTTGTTCATGATATTTTCACTTGATTGGACATAAGATGCCATAATACTATCAATCACTGAAGATAATGTTTCTGTGTTTATGTTATCTAGATCATCACGAAGTCTAAGGATTTTGTCACTAAAATAACGCAAGAAATCGTTTGCAAGTGCTGCCTCACTGGTGTGAGGTGGAAGTGGGTTATCCTTCGAACGTCCAAGCAAGTCTGAAGTCACGCTATATAACTTCTTCACATTCCCTTCAGCCTCTCCGATTCTACTTTGATAGAACCTATCCTTTGCTGATGCTATTGCCGCAGTATAGGAGTTTCTTACATTATTGTACACTATTTTTGTGAGATCTGACCTGTCCTTTAAGTATATTTTCTCAATTGATCTTTTGTACTGTTTTAATTGCTTGAGTTCCATGGAAGTTTGGGTCTAACAGTAATTGATCTTTCTTTCAATGGAGCATGTTTACAAATTCTATCAGATGCAGTCTTTGTGAAATCAGACACAAATTCATTCACGGTAGATGATTTCTCTGCCAAACTGTTTAACTCTTCAAGATCGGCTTCTAACAAGTTCTTCGACACACATTTCCAGTTACGTGATATGATGTTTTTGTAACCAAAGGGGGGCAGAATTGTTGAATATTACAACTGACAAAACAGTGATCAGAGATGTAATAGTCAGACTGAAGATTGGTTATACTAGCAAGTTTTTCTTCCTTTTTTGTGATGATCAGGTCAATAATATGCCCACTAGAATGAGTTGGAGTATTCACATGCTGAACAAGTCCATATGATTTCAAACATTGTTGGAATTGCTTGGTGTAGCAGTCTGATTGCATGTCCATATGAATATTGAAGTCCCCAAGAATTACCATGGACCTTGATTGAGATGAAACTTGTTCTAAATATTCAGTGAATTCAGTCATGAATGTAGCTTGAGTGACCGTGTGTTTTGCATAATATGGCGGTCTATAAATGCCAACGATTCTAAGTATGAATGTTTGGATACATATTTGCCATTCAGCACATTCAAATGATTGATACGATTTGCTGGGTAGGCTTGACACTTTCAGGTTATCTCTGTATAGAAGGCCTATTCCTCCACCACTATGATCAGGCCTGGGTACATTTTCAAAGCAGAACCCTTCCTGAGCCAGTTCACCCCTAACAACATCATCACCATCAGTCTGTAGCCAAGTTTCCGTTATTAAACAAAAGTCAATATTCTCTTCAAGGATATGCTGGAGAAGATCTGCTGATTTATTCCGTATAGATCTTGTATTAACTGTGGCAAGTTTCATTTTTCTCTGCCTATGGACATTTTGTATGTATGTGTGATCAAGTTTAATTTGAACTAAGTTTGCCAAACAAACTGCTAAATGGAGTACAATGTTTTATATAGATATTTTGGTATCCGAGTATTAAAATGAGACTAATTGGGTAAGATATGCTGTATGGAGTACTATATGCATTTGATATAGATATTTTGTAGTCTGAAACTGAAAACGACGCTATATGTATTATGATATGCATTTAATATGGATATTTTGATATATTTGGATATATATGAAAATGGAAACGAGGATAGATTGATTAGATTGTTGTGTAAAAAATGTTAATACTTTTACAAAACCATACCTTCTGAACATGGTCGATATACAAATACACTTTTATTTCATTTCTACCACACTGAATCAAATCTTTATACTATCATAATATAATTTCCAAGCCACTATATTTGAATCAGATAAAATATTTTTTTATAACAAATGCAAAGAAATTTAAGTAGAAATACACTTAAATCAAATATAAAATGCTCAACAGGTTATATTTTAAACTGTTCAAATCTCCAAATATTTATGAATATAAACAGTGCGATTGTCTATTGTAACGCCAGATGTAACCTTGTCTCTCGTGTCTTATCAACATCATTTACCTTTCGCATCTATATATTTATACATTATTCTTACACTATACGAACGAACAGACAAACAACTTTTAATTGTTTTGGTCTAATGAAGGAATATATATTATATCTATATAAGGTCTCGGCCCAATTTTCGTACTCTTTGTTCTATAGTCAATCAGTCACTTTTGAGGCATAATTCTTGATTCCACTGTTCTTGATGAATAATATACAGTTTTCAGCTTTAAAGATCAACACTATCTAAGTCAAATGATGCCCGAAATATAATATGTTAGCAATCTTTTTTTTCAGAAATCATCATTCTGCTGAAATTCTTTTTAAACTCGCCAATTAAAAAAACTCCTGACTATTGGTAGGTAGTACATCTTTCATCCTTAAGCCAACCAATGAGGTCCTAGAGATACAAAAAAACAACTTTTAAAGTCACAATAAAACACACACAAAAATGCACAGATGCAATAACTACACTTTAATGTATTAAAGCTGTTTAATAATGATATCCGGATAGAAGTGGTCAAGGAAGTGTAACAGGAAATTTCATCATCAAATTGTTGATCGGACATAAGACTGTAAAATCGATAAAGTTCGTGATGCTAATTTTAGATAAACAATGTTTTCGGTTATCAATAAAACATTACTTATTAATAATTACTATTTTTTACTGTAAACTTTACTGTACTGCTATGCTTGTGGTGAACTATTTTGACATAGAAACCGTGATTTAAAATGATAATATTTTCTTAAACAATCCGTTAGATTATTCATCAAATGACACATTTATTTTATTAACGTACAATGTATATGCATTGTTCGAGTTTACTGAAGTTAAACTCTTTAAGTGTAGCATTATTGAAAAAGCTACATTTATCGGACAGAAGTTTCATTTTCACACGACAAACCAAAGAATTTTTATGAAGAGTTATACAGAATTTTAAACACATCTAGTTGATCGGACCTGGAAAGATTTTCAATACTTGTATCTTCAGTGTGATGCAAATAGCTCTAATATCTTACATGTACTTTCTGAATAAGAATGTTAACTGATTCTTGGATTTAAAGTTTGAATCAAAACTACATTTTGTGTACTTTTAGAGAATGTTCAAAATCTCAAACGAATTTCCTCTTATCTGATCATCCGAACTACACAAATACTTTTATTACTCATTGACTATTGTCATCTTGAATTCTACTGGTTCTTGAGTTTCTACATGTATATTTGTTTGTTCTTGAACAAAAGCCAATCATATTTGAACACAAGGATTTGATCAACACATTAGATTAATAATTGGGGTAACATTATTTTCCTCAACATTATATCACTTATTAACATTACATATAGTGCTGGATATATACATACATTTTCTGAAGTTTGAAATAGAGAAGAAAGTAATCCCTAAAAAGCATCCTAAAAGACATATTTGAAATTATTGAAGGCTTAGTTGGGCATGTTTATGGACGGCACTGGTAGGTATATGAAATGGAATTACTGAAATTGGCAATATATATATATGTGTGATCATATGGCGATTATCATGAAATATTCAATGTGTCTGCGTTCTTAAAGCTGCATATGGTTCACAAATAAAACAACTCATCCGACTTCTGCCAAAAGTGTGTTAACGTTAACATTGTAATGTTTTACTTCCGGTATCTTAATTTTTTATTTTGAAATCCCTTAGACTTTGAATGTACTGTTCCAAATTTAAGACTGGATAAAATCAATTAAACAATTCAATAGGTCATAAAACCACAAAAATGGTAATCTTCGAGAAAAGAATAAAGAAGAACAAAGTTTAAGGCCAATCATCTGATACAAGTCTACTTAAAGGATCGGGTAGATCTGTGTCGTTGATTTGAATTAGTTCCAATGCAAATGAAATGTTGTTTTATTTGTTTGGTATGCACTGTCTGATGTATATAAGAAGAGAGACACTCTAAATAGTGATGATCTACAGCAAAGTAGAAAATATGATAATTTGCCCATAACTTTAATAATTTAAAACTTTAGCTGGAGTGTCTTGGCTGCTAAAATTTCAGAAGACAATAACATTAATGTTGATCTGTAAATGTAAATAAATGACAATGAATTTTATACCAAATTTAGTTCTCTGGATGTGTTGGTGTATATTTAACATTTGTTCAGCGGGATTGTCGAATGTGTCATGGCCTTCATCTGAGAAAAAAATCAATAGCATGATTTTGATAGGCGATGGACAGAAGTTGATAGTAAGTGGATTAAACCATTTGTATAGTTTAAATACAACAAACTTGCAGCTTATAAATGATGTTGTAATTGGACCAGTGAATAACATTGATAACAATGTGAGACTAGTCATATACAACAAAACAGAACCTAACAATGACGCTTATATAACAACATGCGATAACTTGAATTCATATTGTGAAATCAGACGATTAAGTGATATTTCGGATGTCGTAAATCGACTAGAGCCACCTATCAAGTCAGACGGAGTACAAGCTTTTATGACATCATATAAGAAGCCAAATGGACGAGAAACTTTCTTATTTGTCGCCTGTCCACATGCCGAAGTCCAGGATAACAGATGCTCAAGTCCAGGAATTAATTTGTTTTTAAATAGCGTACCCAACAATCAAGACACATGGCGTACGTTCATATCGTTCGCTGATACACCAATTCTGACCGAAAAATACATTGATGCTTTCATCGTAGACAAATATAGATTATTTTTCAGTTGGCAACTTAATAAATCTTCACTGAAAAGAAAAAGCAGAATAGCTCAAGTGTGTCAGTTCTTCAAATATCACACCTACACCACGCCATTTACGTATGCTGATATGCCAATAGAATGTGGAGATTTAAAGGTAATACAAGCAGTAAAGAAAATTGAATTTGAAACGGAGGTCGTTTTCATTGCGGTGTTTTCTGATGCAGTGAAATCGTCAGTATGTGTTTACACGATGAGTGAAACAAAACGAACGTAAGTGTTTTATTTTCATTAAAACTTATTAACTGTATCTTAAATAACTAATAACTTGCTGAATTTCTTTAATTTACTTGTCCAGTTTCTTAAAGTTATTGTTCTTTATATAAAAATCAATACTTTCAATTACATCGATATTTCAGAGCCTTATTTGATTTCATAAATTTTAAGCTAAGTCGACGTTATACATGGCAAGAAAAACATTTTGGTGTAATTAGGGTACGGATAGTGATATTATTGTACAGTTTTACAAATAAGTGATTGTTATGTGTTTGTTTTGGGAGAAAGGGTAGAATCCATACATTAATTACATGTTATTGATAAAAATAATATGAAGGTGACAATATTTGCATAGAAATGTTCCTTAATCCTCGATATGAGCGGGCGGCGTGTGTATTATATTGCAGCTTAATCTGTTTTGTTATGGAATGTTTTATTCTGTTTTCTTATATAAACTTACATGTATAATTCACATTACGCAATAGAGATACTTCTTACCAAAATCGTAAAGTGTAACTTTACGATTATTAAACCAACATGATTTTTCAATTTCTAAAGTATACTTTATGCTCATATTTGTATCCATTGTAGGTTTGTAGAAAACATCAAAGATTGTTATAACGGTACACGTGTTCCTCAAAATGAAGATTATTTCAAGTTTCCAATAGAAAGCCGTCCATGTACAACACCGATTGTATGTATTTGTTTTCAATGAATGTCCATTTAACATAACAATAAATATATAGGCTCGCTTTCTTACCACAGTCAATGTTGCGAACAAAATATTTAACTAAGTGTTCAGACTTTGAAGTTATTTGTTCAATCATTTCTTGCAAAAGAGTGGTGTTTCTGTTAGCTTTACCCATGCATGAAATTTTATCTGACGTTTGATGGTGCCAGAGGAGTTGTGTGTTCCAAAAAGATTAATATTGGTTAGATGCCAAAGATAACGAAATAAAGCCGTTTTAAAACGAAGCTGTAAATTAATACGTTACTTTAAGAAAATAATAACGGACAAAATGACATAAATTTCTATGAAAATTTTATTTATTGAAATTAAACACTTAATTCTCGGTAGAATATGCAAAGAAAAATATTGATATTTATACCTTCAACTTAACACCATTTATGCTTCTAACACAACACTTAAACAAAACTATTAGACTAGTATAAAAATCCTAAATTTGAGCCATTGAATGTTTTAACAATTTTCGTTTGTTGCTATAGCTTTTAGGTAGACTGTTTTATTCTCTTCAGCAGAAAAGTATGTCTATTTCTTCTTTTCAGTGTAAGAATTTTTATTATTATTGTTTAATTCGGAGATAATACTTGTCGCTATATGTTCTCTACAGCATTAGTTTTTATTTCGCAATCTCTTCATCGTGAGTATTTCGCTATCATGTACTTGCGTTGATGATTTTCTTTTGTTACTTTTCTTTGTGAGTTTTATTCCATTGTTTTGCTTTTCAGATTGAGTGTGTTTCTTATACATTTGGTTTCTTTCAGCGTGTGTTGTTTTCTTTTATTTTTCTGCTGAGTGTTTTAGCCATTTTATTCTTCAGTGATAGGGTTTTTGCCTGTGTTTTTCTCTTCAGCGTTATTCTTTAATATTTCCTTCGGCGTGAGTTTGTTCTATTGTTCTTTTTAGCGTTAAATGTTTCCTTTTTTCTAATATTTCTTCAGTTTGAATTGTTTTTGTTATTATGTTTTTATAGCGTAATAATTTTCCACCCCAACTGCTTCTAACTGTTGTATCTTAGTGGTCTTTGACCATATTTTATTAGTGGACTTAAACCTATTTTAGTATTTTCACGAATATTCTCTGTGAACAAAATCGCATTCTTTGGTCATTTTTTCAGTGATACTGGTGTAGCAGCAGATCCTGACAAGATTAAGTCAATTATTAACTCCCACCTAAGAATCCTAGTGAAGTTAGATCTTTTCTTGGTATGACGCAGTATGTGGTTAAAAGTGATAATGGCCCGCCATTTCAAGGCCAAAATTTTGCAGATTTTGCAAGTTTGTGTGGTTTTAGGGACAGGCGTATTACACCTCTGTGGCCAGAAGCCAGTGGCGCTGTTAAACGCTTCATGGCAGTCATTAACAAATTTGTCCGTTCTATGGTTTCTGAGGGAAAGAACTGGAAAAATGAATTAGCAAGTTTCCTATTACATTACCGGGCTACTCCCAATAACTCAACCAAGGTCTCTCCTTTTGAGGCTATGACCGGAAGGAAAATGAATATTGGCATGCCTGAAGTAAACCGTCATGAAATCACTCCTGTCAGCACATCGGCAAAGATAATAAACAATGACCTTACAAGTAAATCTAAAATGAAAATATACGCTGATAAAAAAAGAAATGTCTGTGAATCAACCATCTCACCTGGTGACACAGTTCTTGTTAAACAGAAAAGGGAAAACAAATTGTCTCCTCCATATTCTCCTAAACCCTATGTAGTTACTGAAAAATATGGAAGTATGATAACTGCTGAATCTGGTAATAACAAGATAACCAGAAATTCATCCTTTTTCAAGCCGGTAAAAGTTGAAGTGAGTCCAATTGAGGAGGATAGCGACGTCGATGATGTCCAAAGTCAATCAGATCAACAGTCTGATCCTGTAGCAATTGGGCCTCCGCCAGCTACTCCACCAAATCCTGTCATTCACCCTTTTGTCCCGCGTAGAAACCCACCAAGACAGACAAAAATGCCTCCAAAATTCAAAGATTTTGTTTTAAAATAAATATATTCATATTGCTAATTTTGGCATTTAGATCAGTTTTGAATTTATATTACCTAGTCAAACATATCTTTACTAGTCATTTATGTTACTTGATGAAACACGGATTTTGAAATCATTAGTTGTTACAATTGTTTTTTCTCGCATCTAATAATAGAAGATTTGTTTAACTTTGTTTTCTTTTCTTAAAGTAAATTTTTAGTTGCTGGATTATTTTCTTTATATATACATTTTACTCTGTAATGTCAGTTATAAAGTAAATATGGATAATTCTAAATAGTAAAGACAATTTTCATTCAAGGTTGGGAGGAATGTTGTATCTTAGTGGTCTTTGACCATATTTTATTAGTGGACTTAAACCTATTTTAGTATGTAATTTTCACGATATGTTAATTCTTTTATGCACCGTAAAAACACATGTTTTACTAACTGTTCTAACAACAAAGAAATAATAGAATAAAGATACATCAAGATTCACGAGCTGTTTCTTTTGTGTATTATACAATCCATAGACATTATACTAACAGTTTTATTTTTATGTTACCTTGCATTGGCAATCCGTCTGTCGATAAGATGTCAAAATAAACCGAAAGCCGAATTCTACCTGTATCAATGGCTTTTAATTAAGACAATTTAGACAATTCATGCAATACAAAATTTATGGTATTGGCTTGTTACATATTTGATTTATACGTGTGGGCGGAGCCTCAGAGTATGAATCAGATTGCCGTGTGTTTTGCTGTTCTTTCTCTTATGAAGACAAAAATAAAAACACGTTCCCTGAAACCCAAGAAAAAAGGACCCTGTGGACGGGCATCTGAATATAATATTTCTATCGCCTATCACTTCGTCTGTCGTCACAATAAGTAAACTCCAGAAAATAACGAGCAAATCAATGAGTATGCTTTGTAGTGCGGGTAAATCATACCTGCATTCAATTTATTGCATTGTGCTTGTTTATGTATACGAAACGAAATGTTGATACATTTTCAACAGAAAGGAGTCCAAACTATGATACAAATCTAATTTAACCGTGCCAAGTTATTTACGTTTTTATCACGTATAGGCGCCATTTATGGTAAACCTATTCTGGCATGTTGGATATATCTTAAATTTCATTTATATATTGGTATCTGCCGTAATTATGTAGTAGGTAGGTAACCTTAATGATCTTCTTACTTTGGTTGCAGTTTTGGATCAATGGAGTCAGTGTCATGTCAGTTACTGGTGTAAAAATATTGTTTGCACTTTTGTCATTGCACTTTATTTATTATCTGTAACATAGTGTCATAAATGTTTGATGAAGACATAGGCTGGTCCTCTACTTATGGTTGGATTCAGGGTCATTCGGGTCAGGGTCAATCATTGCCAAAAATCGATATTTCACTTTTGCACGTACAACCTTTTTGTTGACAGATGCCCTTTATATTTAAAAAAGAAAGATAACTTTGTATTTTTCTGTCTTGAGTGGAGTACGGGAATTGATAATTGATTGAATGGATAAACTTTTTTTGAAAATGTGCCGCCGACATAAATCTGGGCCGGGGCTATTGTGTTCGTTTTCTGTCATTTTCTTCAATGTGAGCTTGTCTTCTACGTGCACAAGTTTTTTTCTATTGTTTCTCTTCAGCATGGACGTTTTCTATCAAGCATGACGTGGCTTTTTAACGCTTTTAATTATACAAAGTGAGGATTGTTCTATTATTTTGAACCACCATTAGAGCTTTGTCATTGCTTCTTAGAAAATTCATGAAAGTTTTTTGCTATTTTCAGCGTGGCGATGTTGACTCCTCTAAAACGGACGATTATTTCCTGTGCAACGAGGACCGATTACTAACCTATCAACAAGTCATCGGCACCCATGTTTTGTCCCAACAGCCGGCTGTTACGTATAACATATCAATAACAGCTGTCACAGTGTCTGTTGAAGATTCGAAGATCATTGCATTCCTTGGAACAACATCTGGCGACATTTTAAAGGTAATTTTTAGGCTGGTTATCTAGCTATTGCTATACCATTGCTAACTTATGTTTTAGATTATACAGTCTACTATTTTTGTCGATTCGACAGCAATCTGAAGGATCTTAGACCACTTATGTCAGCAAACGCATTTGCAGAAGTTCCAAAATACTAACTGTTACAGAAAATACTACGCAAACACGTTTAGGGCATTCCTTATAAAATTGTACTGATTAGGGGAAATAATCGCTGTAGGGAGTCTAACGGACATTTGATAGGCTGACTATCGCATAATAAGTTTTTGGAGTGACAATACTTGTTACATTCTCTAGTCTTTTCAAAACATTTACTTTTAACAAAATACTTTAACTGAATTCATACATGTCAATCATACATGTAATGCATTGTCTTGATATCGAGGGTTTTTACATATTTATTACTTTATATATACACTAGTAAGTTTGTGTGTTGTTAAGTAAAACGATTTGTACGAAATGCCTGAGAAAAGTGAATGAATGATGATCAAGATCTCTTATAAATATAGTAGAAAATATATAGAATTTTAGTACAAAACTATAACCGTTACATAAGCTTGAATATTCAAATAAAAATCTGATTAAAATTAAATATTATCATGACAAGGTCGTACAAACTATTTCTTGTAGAAACAACTCTCTCGGTATATTTTAGCTTTTTAGCTCACCTGAGCTAGCACAGGGTGAGCTTTTAGGATCGTTGAAAGTCCCTCGTCCGACATGATTTTTTCGTTAAGACTCTAGTGGTCACAGTTTGTCCTCAATTGTCATTAAACTTTGTCAGGAATCTTGTCTAGGTAAATGCTCGAATGAGTTCTAACATGGGTCATCTCTATTGAAAAACTAGGTCAAAGAAAAATCTTGTTAACTCTCTGGTGGCTACTGTTTTGTTCCTATATCCTGAAAAAGTGATCTGAAAGTTTGTTTTGATGATTTCTAGGTCAATTCAGAATATGGGGTCAAAAACTAGGTAACAACGACCAAATATGAAAAAACCTTGTTAGCACTCCAGTGGTCACATTTTTGTAATCTAACTTGGTCAGGATGCTTGTCTTGGTAATTGCTCGGAGGAGTTCGAACATAGGTCATCTCTGATGAAAAACTAGGTTACAGTAGCTAAAATTAGAAAAAAAATGTTAACTCTCTAGTGGCTACTTTTGTAATCCAAATATCATGGAAACTGGTTGGCAATTTTGTTTTGATTATTTCTAGGTCAAGTTTAAATATGGGTCACCTGGGGTCAAAACCTAGGTCCCAAATATGGAAAAACCTTGTTAACACTTTAGAGATAACATTTTGGAATCAATTGTCATCAAACTTGGTCTGGATAATTGTCTTAGGAACTGCTGAGATTGATCGGGCAGGTGAGCGATCTACGGCCATATCGGTCCTCTTGTTTAATTGAAGGCTAATCAAACGAAATATTCGATGATTTTTTTAACGGAATATTTCTAAAAGAATTCATGTTATAATTACAATATTTTCCCGCATTTATTTACATCTTTAAACAACTGATAAATTACATAATTATCTACATTACTTGTAGTGTTGTAAGAAACATTAAGTCACAGATAGCTAGCTAGCCAATCTGTACTCTTTACTTTGAGTGGATTCTATATCAGGTCATATTTGTTAGCATTTTGCAAAACTGTATGCAAGTCAGTGAATTAATGTACTGACAGTGTCAATAGTTGATATGTTCTTTGATGTCAATAAACAATTGTATACTTTTTTTTTTCTTCAGAAAAACACATCAGGAAAATAAACCGTTTAAATATTATTATACTTTTTATGATTATTCACTTGATTTATGATAATCGTGACACGTTTCATATAATAATGTGCATTAAATTATACTTGTCGTAAATGATATTATTTGTTATTGATGAATATTTTTTGAAATATATTTTTGATGCTATATGGTCATTACTTCCTGTCATTTTTATGTATATTATTAGATTTTATATACATCTTTTTAAAAATGCAAATAAATTGTATGCTTAATTGTTGTTTTTTACATTTTACGTAGGCAGTTGTCTTCCCAAAAAATTCTACAAGTTTTATACATCAACCTAGAATCCTAAACATTGGGGATACTATTAAAAAGGACATGTTTACATCAAGCGATGAAAAACACATCTTCGTTCTGAGTGAGAGAAAGGTAAACCGTATCAACATTCTAGTTTTTTCCGCAGATTTTATTTTTCGATCATACTTTATATTATGGAAAACAAATCACTATAAAAATGCACGGGAAGTTATTGCACATCCCGATTAAAATTATAAATAAATTGCTTTGCGATCCCTTCAACATGACTGTAATATCCGTTACTTATCAAAAGGAAACACATGAAGGAAACTATATGTGAATCTAATTAGGATAACAACACTTGAAACTGTATTTCTCTTGATATTGCGTAGAGCATTTGTTTCGAAAACATCTATCTGTAAAGTGTATTTATGTTTATGTTCATGGAATAAGAATATACAACCAGTGTACAGTCGTTGATTCTTCAATAATCAATAACCTTCCTTCATTCTCTGACTCATGCCCACCACATCCCATTTAAATTGTACTCTTACAATCGTCATAAGATTATCAAAAAGTACACATTTTGGTTACCAGAACCTTAAGCTGTCATTTAATTATATATTTTTTATAAACTAGTTACTATGTGAGTTAGAGGTCCACTTGATTGTTGTGTTAGTATGAAGCCTGAATTGCACGAGTAAGCAACTGATAAGTGTTACACTTTGCATACTAAAGTATCTGTATATATTCATGTTTAATACATAACACCTTAACATATTAAATTCATTTTGACTGATATGTTAGTGCCTACCAATGTTATAAGTTTATATTCTATCATAATGTATCTCTGTAACCATGATAAAGTACAAAAGAAACATCATCACTACGGTAACCACAAACACCACAAACAACAACAAAAACAGCAACAACATAACAAAATTAAAAGCCAAAAAATTAATTAAATAATATTTGCACCATTTAAAGGAAAAAGAAAATAATTAAGGATAGTTTTTCATCTAGTATTAAATATCTAAATATCCTGCCAGTGTGGGGTGTGTTTCCTCACCTCGCATTTTCGTGTGTCAGGGATGAAATTAACCATTTCAAAAACCCTGCATACTTTCTCTTCTACTGCGTCACTGTATAGGTCCTGTGACAAACTATATCATCAATATTGTTGTCAAAGTGATATTCTGGTGTAAGTTATAGAATGACGTAAGACTATAAACACATTGTTGAATAATCATAACTTGTCACCTGCAAGATCCTCCTCGAAAGAATATTAATGATACACACACACATAAAAGTGTTAAATAATGTTAAAAGATTCTTTAACCTTTGCTATAATCATAGATTTACAAAGATGATTAAAGGTTACATGTGTGCATAATTTTCAAAACTATTTTCAAATTCCAATAATGTATAAAACTATTTGATTTTTTAAAAATAATTTTCAATTCTTTATTGACAAGATAGATATATTGACCACAAAACAATCTTCCAAGAGTGTGTAATCGTATTTATTGAGGGGGCATTTAAACACATTAACAAAGTATCGCTACATGAAGCTGGCATCAATAAAAAAGATAGATAAATGGAATCCTAAAGAACATCTCAATGGCGAAAATAAAAAATGTTAAAGATTCACTGTAGTGAAGCCTGTCCATGGACTGTACTGAAAAGTGCATGCAAAGAACCAAAACACCTGCTTTTTTAGCAAAATTCAACATCTCAAATGAAATTGTTAAATCAAGCCAACCAAGCCTACACCTTTTTTAGCTTTGGTGTTTTAATTTTATTTTTATAGTGTTTCTTTCTTTTTTTTCCTTGAAAAAATAATTAACATGGTCTTGATAGTGGTCTTGTGTTGTGGGATTCGTTCATTGATTTCCGCTTTTCCGTGTTGATCTTGTTTTTCATATTTTATTAAATAAGCAATATTATCAACAATTCAGGTTTTCAAAGTTCCTGTGGAGTCGTGTTCTGGATTTCTTACCTGCAATGAGTGTTTAGGTAGTAATGACCCATACTGTGGATGGTGTTTCTTAGAAGAAAGGTAAAAACTATGTGTGTGATTCATTCAAATGTTCAAAATTACTTTTTATTATTAAGCTAATATAATTCTGTAAAACATATTTTCTTTTCACATTTAAAAAAATGTAGGTGATTGTTTTATTCTCTGAATTTTCAAGTAATACGATGAAAGAAAAGAAAATTACAATATTTAAGATACATGTATTAAAACGATTTGAAACGATCTGTTTCTGTATTTGGTAAAAAATAATGAAAATGTCATAGGGGTTATATTCATTTTCATATATATCTAGATGCAGTACAAAAGATGCTTGCCCAGCAAACAGAGAGTGGACATCAGCTTCAAGTGGTGATACATGTCCACATGTAAAAGATGTTTCTCCTACAGTAATGTCTGACTGCTCAATTTTACTTTACTGTAACATTTTTTCTTTTATTTTTTAAGCAATAAAAAATTGAAAAATTAACTAGTCACGTAACTAGTTGACCACATAAGTAACTAGTTAATTAAGAGGTTAACATGTTATGTAACTACTTAGCATATCAATTAACTAGTTAGTTATATGGTTATCTGGTGGCAGAAATATGCCACCATAGACGTTATATGTACAGTTACTTAAATTTGAATAATGTTTTATCTTAATTAATATAGGTCTTATCTGTTCAATGATGTGAAATAAGTTTATCAAAAAATGATTTTATAGGTTAAGAATCTGTTGCTATTCGGTCTAAAATTTAGTGATTTTAAGTAAGAGAACATTACTAGTATATTCGCTATAAAGCAATTGTACCAGAAATTCTTTAAGTCTTTTAAAACAAGCTTATTTTAGTTGTATTATGCATATGAATATTGAATGAGAAGGGAGGTAACTCTGTAAGGTATGCTATAAATTCTTTCAGAGTTGCCTCCCCTCTGTTATGCTACTTTTTACAGTCTCTTGTAATTCTGATAAGAATGACCGTACACAAACAACTTTTATTTTGTAAAATTATGTAATTGAATTGTTTTTATGTTGTAATGTATGGATGAAAATATATCTTTTATAATTGAATGATTTTTGGAAATGTGCTATGGTGTGAAAGTAAGTATTAACGTAAGGACTACGGTAATCAATGAAGGACATGACAGTTAAACATAACTTTATAAACAAATACAAACACGAAAAAAAACAGCAACAGTCGATATATAGGCAATGCAAACTTGACGTACCATGTAAAACATTTCTTTTGTTTTACCGTTTTAGTTTCACGGTGCATTAGACCTGTCGTTCACAAAAAATGTTATCATTTCATAAAAAAGATCAAATTTGTATGAAAACATCCATAATGCGGAAATATACCGTTAAACGTTTAAATTTGGACTGCTACTTATAAATGTTTATTGATTTTCTTTTGATGTTCTTTTGTATGACCCAAAGGCGGAGATTCTCCTGCAAATAGAAATTGTACTTCCGATTTTGCAACAATTAGGTTAAAGAATGTTAGGATTATGACATTTTGGTTGTCTAGATACCAAAATAATAATTGGAGTCGATATGAAACACATTTTATTGACGGAAAGTAGCTATTTCGTTTTTATGAAATTTATTATATCCCCGCACAACAAAGTTGTAAGGGGGGTATACTGGAATCAGCTTGTCCGTCCGGCTGTCCGGCCGTCGGGCGTCCGTCGGTTTTTTCTTGTCCGCCCAATAACTTAAGAATTCCTTTGACCTACAGTCTTTATATTTGGAAAGGAGGTTAGTCATGATTAGTAGATGACCCCTATTGATTTTGAGGTCACCAGGTCAAAGTTCAAGGTCACAGGGGCCTTGACTTCAAAAAGCTTGTCCGCCCAATAACTTAAGAATCCTTTGACTCACAGTCTTCATATTTGGCATGGAGGTTAGTCACAATTAGTAGATGACCCCTATGGATTATGAGGTCACCAGGTCAAAGGTCAAGGTCACAGGGGCATTGACTTAAAAAAGCTTGTCCGCCCAATAACTTAAGAATCCTTTGACCTACAGTCTTTATATTTGGCATGGAGGTTAGTCACAATTAGTAGATGATCCCTATGGATTTTGAGGTTACCAGGTCAAAGGTCAAGGTCAAAGGGGCCTTGACTTAAAAAAGCTTGTCCGCCCAATAACTTAAGAATCCTTTGACCCACAGTCTTCATATTTAGCATGGAGGTTTATCATGACCATTAGGTGACCCCTATTAATTTTGAAGTCACTTGGTCAAAAGTCACAGGGGTCTTGACTAAAAAAAGCTTGTCTGCTCAATTGCTTAAGAAGGCTTTGGTCAACAGTCTTCATATTTGGTATTGAGGTTGTTTATGACTAGTAGATGACCCCTTTTGATTTTAAGGCGACTGTGTCAAAGGTCAAGGTCATAGGGATTTTACTAAAATAAGCTTGTCTGCTCAAATACTTAAGAATACATGTCTGCAGTGTATTGATTTTGACATTTTCACATTTGAAGCATGTAGAATACATAACTTAGCAATGCACTGGCTTAGTAACCTCAGATTTTGCAGGGAGGTTGTCTATGGGCTCTCAATGGTCACTGTTGATTCTGACATAGTGGTATGCGGGGGTATTCACGCCATGACAGTGGCAGTTCTAGTTTAATGCAGCTTTAACTTTCATCAATTCAACAAAAGAGCAATGTAGTCAATATGTATTAAACAGTACATTAAACGAGAATCAAAATATGAACAGTACATCAAACGAGAATCAAAATATGAGCCCAGCATGGATCCAGACCAGCCTTACAAACCCAATAACAAGTAGAGAAACTAATAGCGAACAGTATGGATCCTGATCAGACTGCGCGGATGCGCAGGCTGGTCTGGATCCATGCTTGTCGCAAACGCATTACGTTGGTTTTGTCATGACACGGCTCATATTTTAATTGGTTTTAATTGATTATGAATATTACTTATTTATCTTTAATAGTGAATATAAATGAAATCACTGCTCAATAAGAGTTAAATATAGGGAAAATAAATTAAGAACTGAAACCGTTGTTATGTGTTGTTCTCCTTCCCTCCATTTGTGAGAGTATGGTCTTGTAATGATGATGAAAATAGTTCACAGACATGTATTCTATTCCTAAACCTGAATGCTTTGTAGTGCGTACGAGCAGCGCATTCCTTTACGCAGTGTGCTACGGAAATGTCAGATATAATCTGAAGTCGATATTCTGTCAAGTTACTCATTTTGTCAAATGTAAAGGAATAACTTAGTTCAAGCTTGTCCACAGTTATGAATACTGCTGATGTATTTGCACTGTGAAACGAAATCAAACAGAGAAAACATTTGTTTTAGATTTCTGAACAAAGAATGCTTTTCAAAACATGTTATCTGAACAAAACTTTTGATCAGCTACTCCTGTTGTATCCGCTTGCATATTAATTTACAATTATACATTCAAATTTCAATAATAAATACAGAAATAAACAATTTCCGGAGAGCTTTCAATAATTTTATTATTGGTTGAAGCGCCCTTTACTTTTCAAAAATATATAAAAAGCCTACACCAATGGAACCTTAAGAAGCTTAATCAATTTCTATAAAATAATAATTGTTTTGGATAAAGTACTGGGTACTTCTTCCTTTAAAAAAGCACCTAAAAATTAAAACAAAAATTCATACAAGGTATAAGAAATACAATTATTGTCAGTTAAATGTGATTTTAATAAGTTTAAATTAACAATAATAAAACGAACTGGAATTGATTGAATTGAATTGGAATATACAAACATTTTATTTCCAATCGTCAATTACATGATATGAAAGTCAGAAACGATAAGTCAAACGCATTAAATTGAGAATTTTTTTCCTAGTTACCCTTTAGCCCCTCTCTCCCTCTCTCCATCTCCCCTCCTTCTCCCCCTCTCTTTCCACCTCCCCATTCATGTGATAAGCACGTGACATGTTCTTCTTTTTATACTTTATTTGTCGTTTTTGTTTTTCTCGCATTTTATTCTTTTTTCTTTTTTTTTTCGATGGGTTCTGTTGTTTTTGCTTTGCTTAAGGTTGTTCTTGTTGTTTTTCTTGATGTTATACGCATGCAAGAAGTATGTTCAACTTAAGAATATGACTTTATTGATACCACATATATTCACAGGGTTCATGAAATAATTCAGTGTTACAGAACATGTATTTGTATAAGAATATCTTGTAAAATTTTAACTGAAAAGAAAGATGAGTTCACTTGAATTTTATCTAAAGCTTTAAGGCTCATTAAGCTCAAAAACGTATATAACTGGAACGAGGTTCATTTAAACAGACGGGGTTTCGTCGGACACGTACAGTAGAGGTCATAAAGTGACTTCCAGCTTAAGCAAAGGAGAAGTTTTTCAAGAGCAGATCCAGCTAGCTGGATAACTCCCTCACATGTAAGTCCTCGGGGATATTCGAACCTACAGCGGTTTGTAGTCAACGACCCTAACGTCTCAGCCACGGACGACCCAAATGTGGTATCAATTATATGTATAAGTATGTCACAGTTATCAAACTTTATTTACTTTATTCATTGAATCGTGTTATTAATGGTAATTGAATTGTCTAAAGCAATGCATTCGTGAAAAGTTAAGATCAGGCCTTACAATTGTCTGTTTTTGTAAAAGTCAATTTAAATGTACAAGTTCGGATATAAAACATTATACAGTAGTCTAGGGAAATGAATCTAAGGACATTGTATGAGCATAAGCTGTTTTGTTCTTAACCTTCATAAATGATATACCTATTTTTTATTATGTGAATTTGTTTTCTATATTTTTTGGTTGTTTTTGTTTTTAGCGGGTGGTATAAAACCGCTCTAAGAAATTATATGAATTTGAAGGAAACAGAAATGATAAATGATGGTGCAAGCGCAGAACCACTGTTCAAACAAACATTTTTTTTTTCAAATTTGACTTGTGAATATGAATTATTTTTGTTTGCCTTGTTTTTACGCCAGTTTAAATGTTTGGTAACATCTTGGCGGCCGGTCCAAGTAAACGGCTTTGATGCATAAACCAGTGATTACCAATTTGTTCTCAAGTGAGCAAATCATAATCTCACATGAATGACAGAAAAATAAGCATTAAACTGTAAACCGCGTAATTGTAGTGAGTTTGATTCTTATATTTTTTATACATTTTTATTTCATGATTGTATTCTTACTATCTCTTTTTTTCATACCATAATGATATTTCTTAAATCTATTTTCCATAATTGAATGGTCCTTGTATATCTTTTTTCATATCATTATGGTATTTTAACTCTTGTTTCATAATTGTATATTTTTTTTATATTAAAATAATCATATGATGATGTATTTCTATAATAACCTTTTTGGCATTCAAAAAATGTGACATTCTTGTATCTTTTTATATATATATTATGGTATAATAGTATATTTTTTCATTATCTTTTGACGTATTATATCGGTATTCTTCTATTTTTCTTTTATTAAAATGGTCGTCGCATATTATAATCATGGTATTCATATATTATCTTCTTTCTTATACCAATTGTATTCTATATTCTTATATCTATTTAGTTTTATTACAATGATGGTATTCTTATATGATAATGGTACGAGTATTGTTATATCGATCGTCTTTCCATATGATAATGGTATTCTTATATATTTTCCATATTACAATGGTATTCGTATAATCTCATTTTTCATATTACAATGGAATTGATATTATCTTCTTTTTATATTATAATTGTACTTCTATAACTTTTTTTCATATTATAATGGCATTTATGTATATTTCTCCTCATTATAATAGTATTCTTATATCATTATTTCGATTTTTAATTATATTCTTAAAGTTATATTTTTTGTCATATTTTAAAGGTATTCTTATATATTTTTCATCTTTAAATGGGATTTTTATATTTTTCATATATCATATTATAATCATTATCAAGGTATTCTTCTAACTTTATCTTTTTCAAATCATATTGGAGCTCTTAAATCTTTTTCTTTTGCAGAATATAATGGCATTCTTATTAATATATTTTTTTCACATTATAATGACATTATAGTATCTTTTTATATCATTATTGAATTATCACTGGAAAATATGTCCATATCTGTTATATAAAGGACTTCTTTTTAAAAGTGTCTATAGTATCATCTATGATTTGATAACTTATTAGGTTAAAAATTGGTAAAAACAAATTGCAATGGTTCGCACAGTATAATTATTAAGAAGATATTTTTTCGTTTGCGTGAAATATGGAATATATTTTCACGAAACATGATAAAATGCCACATATTTTCACGAGCCGGTACGGCGAGTGAAAATATGTGGGATTCTATCATGTTGAGTGAAAATATATACCATATTTCACGAAAAACGAAAAAATAACCTTTTTATTTAATTTCATTATCAAAGAAAATGGTAACGAATCCCCTTGCTTGCTACCAACTGCAATTGTACAGCGCGCAGTAATTTATGCGTAAGCACGCGCTGTTTGGCGCTACATTGTGACGTCATGTAAACAACTCTTTAAACGTCTGTACAGCGTTAATTACTAAATTAAAGATATTGGTGTTCGGATTAATTTTCTTAGTTAGCCCATTTTCTATCATGCTAGATAGTTTTCAAAACAAAATTCAAGAAAAAGTTGTTTTGTATTTATCAGATTTTTTAAACAAAACGGCGAAAGAAGTCCCTTATAATAAATATGAGTTTTGACTCCGCCCACTTTCATATTTATATTTCATATTTATTTTCAAAAAATATGAAATATATTTGACTGATATAGCACCATATTTCATGGATAAAATTAAATAAATAGAGGATATTCAAGTTTTTTTTAATATAAATACAGAAACTTTTTTTTCGTAAAGTGGTATGAAAATAAATATATCGCCACGAGTGAAATATCATGATTTTCATACCACAAGATGAAAATAAATCATGTATTTATAGAAAAAACTTGAATTTTCTGTTTATTATATACATTTTTCTCTTTTTTGCGATAAAATTTGAAAGACTTTCCCTTAAATTTTGTGTACTGGCAGAATTTAAAAGAAAGTAGTCCGGCCAGACACCAGTGAAAATACAGAAAATATGTTTCACTGCAGTGAAAAATAAATTTTTACAGTGAAAATACGGAAAATGAAAATATGCATGTTATTTCATCAATATTTCTCAATATTTCATTTAAAAGTATATAATAAAAAATAATATTTTTGTTTTGCTTTGTTTGGTGTCGGTATAGATCTATAAAACAAACAAAATATGTTAAGGAGGGCAATAACCGAATAAATTCAAAATACAGTGCACGGCAATCACATCTTATCGGCCCTTACAGTCAAACTTCGGAAATAACCGAGATGTTCGAATTGCATACACGATACTCGTGAGCACTTTTAACCCTTATAATGCTTTTATTATGGTGGGGTGGACTCGACTTCCTTAGACTTTAAGACAGTTCATACTGATTTTTCCTACTATATATCCAATAATTAATCCATCACATTTAAGGCCTAATTCTGGGTTCAGGAACTGTATGGGTATCGAAAATGCAATCCTAGTTAATTAAGCACAAAAAATACATTAGCCCTTAAAATTTGTTATGCAGCTTTTAATTCGTGTAATCATAGACTATAAAATATTCCAAATAGCAATAGGTGTGTATTTTTATGCAAAGTGCGCCCTTAAACCTTCTACCCAGATGTCCAGCAAAAATACACAAAAATTAACCTTGAAAGAACTCAGAAACAACATTTAATGCACTAAATAACTAAAGATATACTTTAAATGTAACCAGTCTTGCTAAGGATGACTTAAAATAGGCCACTTCAAAATTACTACTTTCTAGACTACAACAGGCTGGGTCTTTTTATATACGAGGGCGACATCATAATTATTGTATGGAGTTTCAATATAAAAAGCTTCATTAAAAACGTGACATGAACTCGTTTGCTTTAAGTCACGCAAATTGTGTAAACACCTTACTGCTCTTGTGTAGCAACACCTCTGTTACAAATCCGTAAAGAATTTTAGACACGTGTGGACGCCTGAACAGGACCACCGATCTTTCGTAATCAAGTTATATAGATTTCTGATATGAAAAATTCAAGTTTCAAAATTCAACCTTGGATGCATGTTAACCAGCAGCAGAAAATTGCAGAGAAAAGATATTCATAATTGGTAATTAAAGCTGGGAAGCAACTTATCTTCCCGAGGCAATCTTGAATCAGTGCTGTCAAGAGGGTACAATATTACTCAATATTATATGCACCACTAACACGTATAACTCACAAACTTTTTGTTTACTATCTTGACTTAGGACAGCACAAATATATTATACTTTGTGGAACTTTGCATTTTACTGCTTGGTCACATTTACGGATCAAGAATAATATATCTGCCGCATTAAAATAATTGCTTACATGTATATTACAAGAATAATATATCCGTCCCATGAAAATTATTGCATATATTTTATCTAACCCGTCTTGCAACCACTGGTTCCTATTCATTCGATCACGCGACTTCAGAAGAAATATACATATTTTTATAATAATCGAATGTTTGCAGGTCTATTTTGGAAATAGGACAACTTTTCCACGATTTTGTTTCTTATATTTATTTATTTTACTAAAAAGGTGTTGTTGTTTTTTTTTAAAAAAAGTCGCGGCAAAATTTAACTCTTACTTTATTTGATTTAACCGCAAAATGTCTAAAAATAGGTGGTCTGTTTCTTTCTTATTTCCATGTGCGACAAAATCCACTTTTCGGGATCTTGACACATGTTTAAATTCATAAGATACGCCTGTTTCGTACACAAAAAACTTTTGTATATACTACAAAAACACTCGTCAAAAATGGTAATACTCATCTTTAAAAGTAAGTTTAAAGTACTAAATTAAACTTTAATGATTCAGCTCGCCTTACATTGTATTATGTTTTATGTGTCAAAACAAATCAATTTTTCGTCGCCTCTTGTTTAAAATCAGGTAGTTTTAAGTAAAAAATAATTTGCCAATTCGCAATATTGACCTGTTTATTTCTGGCCATTATCCTTGCCATTTTTAATTACTTAATTATAATGCAAAGTTGCAAACATGAAGCGCCCGCTTACAAATGTATGCCCGATTTTTCAAATGTCTGGAGTTCTAGTGATAACTCTGAAGATGTCCTAGAGTTCTTGTGATAAATTTGTTACTGCGAGTGTGTTTCACGCTAATTCACGACAGGTTGTAACGTTCTTTAATATTCAAAAAGGTTGCAAGACATAATGAAATGTAGAAGTCTTATCCTTTGCACAAAAATGTGGATATATAATGTTGGTCTTGAGTGTCTGCAAAATAATCAACAGGTGATAGGCTATCAACTATCTCACCGAGGACTTTCATGTGAGGAAGTTATCAAGCTAGCTTATGGAACGTCTGCAGTTCTACTCTCGAAGTCTTTATCCACTGCTAAAGCAGGAAGTTGCTATATGACCTCTACTGTACGTGTCTGACAGAACCTACCTGCTTGAACGGACCTCGTCCTCGTTATGTACGTTTTCCTCTCGTTATGTACATTTTTCACTAATTTTCAGCTTTATGAGCCGTATAGCTTTAGATAGAATTCAAATGATCTCATCCTTTCAGTTCAGTTTAAACTTTGCATTTAATTAATTCAAAAACCGTGTGAATATATGTAGCATCAATATAGTCATATTTTGAAGTTGAACTTATTCTTGCATGTATATAACACTAATAAAAGTAACAAAAACAACAACAACAACAATAAGAACAACAACAACAACAAAACCCATCGAACAAAAAAAGAGAAAAAAAAACACGAGAAAAATAAATACGACAATGAAGTATTAAAAGCACATGAAGAGCAATTGACATGCTTATCACATGAATGGGGAGGTAGAAAGAGAGAGAGTGGAAGAGAGAGGGGGAGATTGGGAACGAGAGAGAGGCCAAAGGGCCAGGGAGGGGGTAAGTAGGGAAAAACATTTCAAACTTATCGTTTCTTACGAGACTTGCACATAAACTTTCATATTTTGTAACTGGCGTTTGGAAATAAAATGTTTGTTTATTCCAATTCATTTCAATCAATTCCAATCCATTTATCATTGTTTTTTTTGTTGGGTGTGGGGGTAGGGGGTTAACTTATTAAATTCATTTTTGACTGACAATTATTATAATTGTATTTTTATACCATGTATAAATTGTTGTTTTATTTATTTTTATTGCTTTATTTAAGAGGAAGAAATTATCCAGTACTTTTCTCTTAATCATTTGATATTTTACTGAATTGTTTGCTTTAAAACACAACAAGTCTTTCACATTTGAAAGATTGTTATTATATAGAAATTGATTAAGCTTTTTACGTTTCATTGTTTGTAGGCTTTTTTATTTTTTGCAAAGTACATGGCGCTTCAACTAACAATAAAATTATTGAAAGCTTTCCGGAAAGTCTTTTTATGTACTTTTATTGAAATATGAATGTTTTAATTGTGAATCAATATACGAACGGATTCAAAAGGAGTAGCTTATCAAAAGTTTCGATCAGATAATTTGTTTTGAAAAGCATCCTTTGTTCAGAAATCTAAAACATTTTACTTTATGACTTTATTCATCGCTTTCCACTTCATGCCAGTAAATTTTATTTACCCTCGCAAGAATTACTGACATTGATTGTAGCCGTGACGTTGAAGGCACAATAACTAAATGTTCTGTCATTAAAGTAAGACTTTAATTATAATTTCAATTTGACTACCTTTTGCAATAATTTGAATAGATTTATATCAAATTATGAAGTTCAAATGTTTTCTCAGTTTGATGTCGTTTCACATTGCAAATATATCATCGGTATTCATAACTTTTGACAAGTTTGAACTAAGTTATTCTTTTACATTTGACAAAATGAGTTATTTGACAGAACATCGACTTCAGTTTATATCTGGAATTTCCGTCACACATTGCGTAAAGGAATGCGCTGCTCGTACGCACTGCAAAGCATTAAGGTTTAGGAATAGAATAAACGTCTGTGAACTATTTGCATCATCATTACAAGACCTTACACTCACAACTGGGAGTATAACTCTGCAGGAAGGGGAACAAAACATAACAAAGGTGCCATTTCTTAATTTATTTTTGCTATTTTTTTCTCGTGTTAAGCAGTTATTTCATTTATATTCTCTTTTAAAGGTAGGTTATATACATAGTGAATTATAAATAAGCTACCTCAATTGAATATTCGTTCCCTTAGATTTGTAGAATCAATAAATATTGATTATGTAGGCAAAATACTTCTAATGCATCAGAAAGTATTGCAAAATATATGGTTTATTTAACTTTTTTCTATTATCAAATAAGGAAATAAATACTCTGCATCGGGTATACCCTTTTCATATCCATATCTGTTGTGTTCCTGTTGGGTAGAGGACATATTTTCTCGAACGCTACTGTCTTTTACTGATCACAAGTCTCATATGTTGTAATCGTAACGATATTAAAGACGAATATCACTATTTTATTTTGCAGCGGTTATGAGCAAGAGGTTTAAAGTTCGCTTTATATAATGTATGAAACATATATACTACAACCATGTTATGTATTAATTGGATCATTGTTCTTTTGATACATTTAATAAAGCTGATATCATGAAAGCAAATTCAACAATGTAAGTGTAACAGAAGAAATCTCTTATTAGCAATGTATATCTTAACTAATTATTAAGTAGTTGTTTTGGTTACAAACTTTGCATTTAAATGTAGCATTCACGAGGATAAGATAATCAATATGTGGTTTTCTTTGACACATATATTTTTTATTTTATTTTCAGTCTCCGTGTCAGGATAATTGCAAGTATGGCGAGGTTTGTGAAACGAATGAGTCTGATGTAAGCACCTGTGTTGTCAAAGGTAAAATGTGTACATGTGATGGACAACTTGCATACAAAGCACTAATTCTTTCGCGTTCCCCACCCCCAAAAATCCCTATAATTGCTTTACAAGTAAAGCTAATTTGATTCATTCACGTATATCAATATTTCAATTTCATCTGTGTTGTAAAATATCATGTTAATCTGTAATTATCTTTTCTTATTCTCCCATTGTTTCAGAATGCGTCAATATAACGATTCCTGAGAACGGGTTTATACTTGGAAATAAGAGAGACATTGGGAAAAGGATACGGTATAAATGTAACGTAGGGTATGTTGAATCTAATGCTGAGATTGGAACAGTCGCTGAATGCCTTTATACCGGAGACTGGAGTACATTCACTGAATGCATCCCCAGTAAGAGTAAGTTTACATCGTGCAGTTCATTTTCATCCAGAATGTTAGTTACCCGCATAACTTTACGATAATGTGACATTATATAAATAGCACATGGGTTTGTGGGTAACAGTAAAGATATCATCCCGAGGAAATACTGTTACCCAAGGCGTATATTTACGAGGGGTGATATTTTTACTGTTCCTCACAAACCCATGTGTTGTTTATTTTATCACGCCGAACAAAAACACTGTGATGATCTGAAATTGTGAACTAAATCTTAACTGTAACAGAAATAAACAAATAGTAACAATAATTAAACTGTCCTTACCTTTTACGTTTTAAATGAACTTTAGGCCTACTTGAGAAGTTTTCTTTTCTTTTTATTCTTTAAGCAAGTGATGATATCTACTAGTAATAAACATACAATAAGCTGTATTTTATTTAGAAAAACAAAAACTAACCCATTTATACGGTAATGATCAGTGAAATCTGATCATTCTGTTTCCAGAATATTCTTCGCATGGTTTTTGACAAAATAACGATGATATCCTATATCAATCCACCATATCTGTAACGTTTCACTGATTAAAATTGTTAAATAATCTTTTGTCTGCATGTGTCAGTTCGACACATAATTATTCACATTGCAATTATTTCCGATGAAAACGGATGTTTACAAAAAGAGATTGTATACGCAAATCTCTCCAGAGTGCAGACAACTTAATTTTTTTGGTGACACAGTTACTCCAGAAAAAGATGGTGATCTCCTATCGTTGTAAACGTCGAAAATAAGAATGAATCGAGAAAATATGGCGGCCATTTTATTTAGAAAATAGACAACGTGACCAGATTTTATAGTGTTAAAAAGTACTGTTACAGTACAAAATTCTTAGTCACGTGGTACACTTGAATTAACCGTAAAAGTTACTCCTAGAGGCCTATGGGGAATTATCATTACGAAAAAGTGAGGGGTAATAACAGTACTTGTTAGTTCTAAGAAAACAGGCTTGGGTTTTTCTGCACGGATAATATACAAAAGATATTTACATCAAATGCTATTTTATTGTTCAAATTCTAGCATAACTTTTGATAATAACAAATGGTAAATACATGAGGAATGTTTACATGGTCAAGTTTAAATTACCTACATAACGACTTTTGTTGTATGTTTTTGTGTTCGTATTTGTTTAACTGTCATGCCCTTTACAGAGAGGCTGAAAAAGGTAAAAGAAAAACATAATAGAAGGAAGGCAACTCTGAAGAATTTCCAACATAATTTATAGAGTTACCTCTCTTTCCATTCCATAATACAACTTAAATAAGCTTGTTCTAAAAGACTAAAAGAATTTCTTGCTACAATTGCTTTTTAGTGAATATATAAGTAATTAATGTTCTCTTACTTAAAAACATTAATTTCAGACCGAATAGCAACAGATTTTCAACCTATAAAATCGTTTTCTTGGTAAAAAAATTTCACATCATTCAACAGATAAGACCTATATATTAATTAAAATGAAACATTGTCCAAAAATAAGTAGCTGCACATATAATGTCTTTGCATAATGAAAAAAAAGATACTGTAAAGCAGAATTGAGCAGTCAGTTACTTATCATTAACCGTGAGTTTGTTATTAGATACTACCACCATAATGTTAGTAACCATATTATACCCCTCCTCTATATTATCTTCTCGTGCAATTTTTATTATTATTCACAATTCATCCGTCAAACGCATGCGCACTTAATCAAAACATTACGCAACCCACAGCTTATTTTCAAACAAAACCCTTATTTAAAGGCGCAAATTCAAGAATTTTATAGGGAGATAAACGTTTCCAAAACAATACCCTTATTATCTGTATTTATTTTGTCATATTGCTGATCCGAAATATTAAAAAACAGTTTGACTATAAACAAACTTTATGAAAATAATCTGTACTGGAAATTATTTGAAAACTTTATATGATATATTGAGTGATCTGATGCCACAAAAGACTATCTATAATATATATATAAGTTTTTTCTTTATGCCGTCAGACCACCATTTTTTTATATTTACCCTATTCTCCATGGATATAAAGTTTCCTACATGTGGACCACGTGGACAGAATGGAGTACATGTAGTGTCTCATGTGGCGGAGGTGTTAAAAGTAGATCACGAACTTGCACGATACCTACTGTAGCCTTGAATGGCGAGGAAGAGTGTGAAGAAAACATGTACACCGGCGCAGGAGCATCGTGTAACAAGGAAGCATGCACTTGTAAGAAGTTATTCTCTTTTTATTATGCTTGTATTTAAACAGATATGAGTATGTATTTAATGCATGATCTCAATGCGAGGTATAGTAAAAAAGTTCTCGGACACTTAACGATAACTTTGTTATTTTGTGTATGTTTTTATGACATATATCACATTAAAATTTAGAGAAATCGCTGCATGAATATATAAGAGTCAATGATTTTCATAAATGTTACACATATTTAACACTCCGTTAAAGTTACACATTATGTCACGTACGGAGCACTTCGGCGACGTCGACGACGCTAACGACGTTCAGGTGGCGTTCATATTCCAGAAACAACTTACCGTCACGTTCATTCAAACTTTTTGAAAATAGTCCCCATTGTGTTCAATACACTTCCATTGCCGCTGTACCCACTTCCGGAAAATGTCTGCATATCACTCTTGAGTGTAACTTCTTATTGCGGACCTCACAGGATATTTGATATCATCTTCTGTATCAAACCTCCGACCCCTCAAATCTGCTTTCAGTCTAAGGAAAACACAAAAGTCTAAGGGGGCGAGATCAGGACTATAAGGGGGGTGACGTAGCCGCTCATATCCTAAACAGTCAATGGTAAAGAGTGCCTCATCTGCGCGGTGTGCTGGAGCGTTATCTTGATGAAAAATTTAATTTTTCGATGTCGCACCCTGCTCGCTATTTCCTGAAAGCGTTCGTTAGATCCCTCCGCACAACATGTTTATAACAACTTCATTTTATTTGAAACTTCCAAAAATGCGGCAAATTATAAAAATAATAGTTTCTTTCATTTTTTGTTATATTTTATATACTTTTCACCTTACATTTAAATAAACATAGAAATTTAGTAAAAACATTTCATGCGACATAATTAATGCTTACCTTTTGATTGTACTCTTTGTTGACTGTCGCCGATTTTGGCACCGCATGTTGCAACAGTATACCCTGGCTTCCATGAAGAAAATACACATAACTTTCTTTGCCGACTTGCAGGTTTTTGCCTTCTTGGGGGGAGGTGATGAAGGTCGTTTCCACACCATCGACTCTCGTTTACTCTCTGGGTCGTAAAAATTCACCCACGTCTCATCCGTAGTGATAATGGAATCGTTCGCCGTCTCTATCATATCGCCCCGTAAAAATTCTCGGGAAGCGTCTACACGGGTTGCTTTGTTTTCAGCTGTAAGTAACCTAGGTACCTAGTGGGCGCATACCTTATTCATGTTTAAATCCTTCGTCACTATCTTATGTACAGTTCCATGACAGAGCCCGACGGTTCAGCAATCGACTTTCTCCGATCTTCGGCGATGACGTCCTTCATATCTGGGATTGAGCGCTGATCGTTACCCGGTCTTCCGCTTCGTGCACTTTCGGTAATTTCTGTCCGACCTTCCCTAAAACGCTTGCGCCAGTCAAACACAAATGTCCTAAAACAATTATGAACACCCTTCTTCAAAAACTTCCAGGTATCAGTCAGAGTCATTCCACACATCGCACAGAATTTCATTATTGCCCGCTGCTCCGTACGTTTTTCTTAGGTTGACATTCTTTCGTATAGAAATTTTCACGTGGCTTGAATAATCGTGCACAAAATGGCGATACGTCATCACGCTGAATTTTTGCAGTTGTTTACTAGTAACGTTCAGCACGACGTTCTGGTGCCAGTATTTTGAAACATTCATTAAAGAGTATTATTCACTTCTATAAAAATCAAATTAATTCTGAAATGCTCTGTACACGGGTTGCGGGCGTGTTACATGTGAAAAAAATCCAAATATTTACTAAATTGATCATTTTTCATACATGTTGCTACTCAAATTAGTTAAAAATACCTTCATGGTAAATTTCATGACAATCAGACATCAATAATCTTTTTAAACAGACCAGTCCGGGAACTATTTGACTATACCTCGTATAACTAAATTATTGTGTTCTTCGGATCATTCAAGAAAATATATATAAGGGTTTTCACCCTATAGCTCATGTATGAATGTGTGTACTTGTCTGAAAATAGAACAGAATTCATGTTACTCTACAAACAATTTATACCATATGGTTTATGTCAAAATAATGTCAATAGCATATTATATATGTTTTACTTTATGATAATATGATTATATATTAATGTTTAAGTTAAAAACCAAGGAGTTATTAAGACAAGTTTGTAAAATTTAATTATCTATTTATTTTATAGAAATAATATCTCATTTTTTTCCAGAACCATAAAATATGGATCAGATTAATGAGGCATATAAGTTGGTTTGAATTTTTAAGGTTTGCCGTGATGTATTGGCTGCATTTACTTTATTAGAGAAAACAACTTTCATTTTCAACTATGATGACTTAAGAAGAAGAGGATTTTGATTTAAATACTGTAGCTTTTGTGACGTTCTAATAATCAACAGAAACGACAGGACTTTAGAATGATGATAAAAAAATATGAATTCATCTGTAATTACATTTACCATATCCAAAAATACACGTCTTGAAAAAAAATTATTATTCTGATTGAAGAAAACATTATGTCTATTCAATGTTGTAAGGTTAAGTCTTAGTAAGTAAAGAATATGTCGGACATTGTATTTGTAAATTCGTTATTTTCATGTTCACATATTTGTCCATTCAGTTGGAGAAACAATGGACTACACTTATCTTAAAGTTGTTGGAAGAACAGATTTCTCGATGTAAATAAAACAAAAACAAATATTACAAAGTTGCAGATTCGATTTTATTGAAATTATGGAAAAAAAGAACAGAAGCATCTCTAACGCCCTTAAGCACCGTATTATGCGGTAATTAATCCTGAACACTGAAAGTGTTCGAATCATTGATCTCGGAGGACCAGAAAAGTATATATACAGAGATGAAGTAAGTGGCAACTTTTTACAGCTAACACACTATTTCATACCAGCTATAGAAGTAAATTAATACTCTGGCAAATGGAGATAAAGGGTCAGTAACAATGAGTCAAAAGAGATCTAAAGTGAATACAATGTAAACAAAATAAAACTTTTAAGTTTTAAGTTGATATGAGATATAAAACATAAATATAATGTACATGGAATAAAGCTAATAAGTCCTTTAGTCAATTACATTGTAGTCGAAACAGATGTACTGAGACAACCTAATGTTGGAGTACAGTATCAAACTAAATATAGGCATATAGTCATAGGTGACTGCAATGTGCACAGTCAAATTAGCGGCACTATTAGAAACAAATTTTAACTTGAACATAAAATAAAATTTTCATAAATGCGTAGACCCGATTTCAATGGAACTGTTTAATGACAGCAGTATTATGTCGAATCTATTGTCGTCTACACTCTACTGCCAAGGACTTTATGACATCTCGACCCATTAGACACCTCGACCCAAGACACTTAGACCCTTAGACACGAAGACCCCTTTTAATGACTGGACGTTTCGACCCGTTATTACATAATGTACAAAAGACGTTTCTAAAGAAAAAAAATGATTTGCATGAAGACAATATAAATGCTTTTTACAATTTTGATTATTATATACAATTTAATAGATATTAAAATATAAATGAAATCATATTAAGTCGTTATTTGTTATCAAATATTTTATATAAGAAACAGAAACACACGTATTAAATTTCAACATAAAATATATTATGCATTTATGAATACATATCACAAATTACAGTAATCACAATATACATTGTATACGTTTTATTTTTGTCCCCCGCCTTTTCGAAGAAAAAAGGGGGATATAGAAATAGGTTCCGTCCGTCCGTCCGTCCGTCTGTCTGTCTGTCTGTCCGAGCAAACATTTTGGGTTTAGGGGCTATATAACAGTAAAGAGAACAAAAGAGAACAATAGGTTCATTCCTTCATCAAAGGGTTTAGGGGCTAGTAGCCCTTAAGAAAACAAAGAAAATAACCAATAAAATAGCCCCTAAAGCCAAAATGTTGGAACGTCCGTCCGTCTGTCCGTCCGTCACACTTTCGTGTCCGGTCCATTACTTTGTCATTTAACAAAGGAATCTGAAATAACTTGGCACAATTGTTTGTTATAATAAGACGATGTGTCATGCGGAACAACCAGACCCCTACCTCCAGGGTTAAGGTCGCACTTGCACATTCAAGGTCAACATTGTCTTTTGAGGGTATATGTCGTGTCTGGTCCATACCTTTCTTATCCTTGAAGGGATTTTGTAAATACTTGCCACAATTGTTCATAATAATAAGACAATGTGTCATGCGTAATAACCGGTCACCTACCTCCAAGGTCAAGGTCACACTTGGAGGTCAAAGATTAACATAGTTTGTTATAAAGTATAGTTTGTGTCCGGTCCATAACTTTTTCATAGATCAAAGGATTTTGTAAATACTTGTCACAAACAGTCACTATAATAAGATGATGTGTCATGCACAACACCTGCATCCCTACCTCCAAGTTCAAGGTCACACTTAGAGGTCAATGATTAACATAGAACTTAATGTTAATAGAACTTCTTCGGGATTTTGAAATAACTTGGCACAAATTGTCACAATGATAGGAGGTTATGTCAAGTACAACACCTGCATCCCTACCTCCTAGGTCAAGGTCATACTTAGAGGTCAAAGGTTAAGAGAGTCTGTTGTGTGGTATATTTTGTGTGCCGTACATAACTTCTTCATAGATCAAGGGATTTTCAATATACTTGGCACAAATAGTCACAATGATAAGATGATATGTCATGCGTAACACCTGTGTCACTACCTACAAGGTGAAGGTCACCCTAAGGTGTAAAAGATTTTAAACAAGTCTGATATAGGGTATATTTTGTGTCCAGTCCATACTTTTTCATAGATCAAGGGCTTTTAAAAATACTTTGCACAAATAATCACAATAATAAGACGATATGTAAGGCGAAAAACATGGGTCCCTACCTCCAATGTCACACTTAAGGGTATATATAGGGTATATTTTGTGTCCAGTCCATACTTTTTTCATAGATCAAGGGCTTTTAAAAATACTTTGCACAAATAATCACAATAATAAGACAATGTGTAGAAAAACATGGGTCCCTACCTCCAATGTCACACTTAATGGTATATTTTATGTCCGATCTACAACTTCTTCATAGTTCAAGGACTTTTGAAAATACTTTGCACCAATAGTCACAATAATAAGATGATATGTCATGCACAACACCTGCACCCCTACCTCCAAGGTTAAGGTCACACTTAGAGATCAAAGATAAACATGATAGATTTTTTAATTCCGTGTTTTATTTTATTTCTTTAATAAATTTATTGTTGCATTAGCAGATCTATCATTGATAGTAATTTGGACTGAAAGTCCTAAGATCCATACTTCACCGAGGCGGGGGACGTTGGTATCTCTGTTACAAATTCTTGTTTAATTTAACTAAATATATGTCAGTAATTTAGTTATTCACACTTTTCTTAGCAAATTTTGCCATTTTTTCCATGTGCACTTATTAAGTTTCCATATTTCAAACTTCTAACATCAGAATATCTGAGGCATATTGGTTCTTTAAATACTCTATTTTAATGAAAATTATACCTTTATACATGCAATAAATAAATATAGTTATGATTTTGATGACCATCAGAAACTGAATTTCTTACATCATATTTGTATACACAATATCCCTTTTTTAAAGTCACACTATTATAATGTAAGATATCACACAAAGCAATATTTACCACGTTACAGAGTGTCGACAAGGGCTTGGACCTTTCAAATACAGATTTCAAAGTACCTGTTGCAATTATTATTGTCCATACATACCATTCTTTGTAACTGTTTACAATTATTGTCAATACAAAAAAATAGTCTTTTGTTTCAACATTTCCCTGTTTTTCAAATAGTGTCATCACATACCATTTTTTGTTTTACAATATTGTCAATATATACCATTTTTTTCTGTTTTACAATATTTGTCAATACAAACCATTTTTCCTGTTTTGCAATAACTGTCAACGTATAACATTTTTGTTTTACAACTATTGTCATTACGTACCATTTTTCTGCCTTACAGTTATTGACAATACGTACCGTTATTTTTGTTTTCTTTTACATTTATTGTCAGTTTTATTTGTAATAAAAGTAACATGCAGAAACCTGGCTATTTTTTATCTTTCTATTTTTTATTGTATTAATCGACATTAATAATGAAAACTGTAAGAAATTTTGTTTAAAAAAAACACACCATTCTAAAGTGCCATTCATAAAAACAACATCTGTATGATTATATTGCAGATAAGCCATTTTGAGAGTTTGTAGATTTTTCTAAACAGCACTAAAATAACATAAATACAACTGTTGTTTCAATATGCAGCAATCGAGAAGCTCCGCGCAATAAATGCCCACATTAAAGATAAGTTATCAAATCATTCCTACGCACAGGTCATTTTCTATTTAGATTTAGTACTATTATACATTATTCCGGATATTTTGTAAATCATTTAAATTTGCACAATTATACTTATCGTATACACTGTACATGAGAGAGGAGGCAGATATTAAATTTAAACAAAATCTTTTCACTGATGCCTGCCTGGTTAGGAAAGTAATTCCAATACAAACAAGACTGAAGCGAAAACACAAAAGGACGAAAAAGACCAACTTTGTAGTCCCTTCGTGTTTTCGCATTTTGGAGGCGAAGAAGCGAAAATACGACATGGCGTAAATCAGCCACCATACTTACAAGTTTTGTAATGTGACATGACAATAGTGCAACATTGATCTGTTTGTGTCCTTACTGTAGTAATTTTTGATTGTAAAAAATATATCAAAGCATGTACATTTTCTTTTTCATATTTAATGCTACTCATGTTTTTACAATTATCAACAACTAATGATGGTTAGTAATATCCAAAGTAAGCCAAACCAAAAACTTTCATGGACGTTTTTGGGCTTTTTTTTCAAAATGTCCGTTACATGTTTCGCGGCAAATGATATAACATGATATAACAGGAAAAGCATTGGTGCAAAGCATCAAAGGGCGTCCAAGTAAGAAATGCAGCAAGTGAAGATGAACTAATGGATATCTGATGACCAGATATTCTTATAAACTTTTCAATGGTTAATTGGTTTTTACCAGAATTGTATATTATTTATGAAAGGCGGACGAAAGACATTATTTATCATGAACTTTGCTAAGCATGCAAGAGATTAGAATAATAAATGTTTCTTTTCCATAGGAACATGAAACTCTATAAATAATAACGATAATATCCAAAAATACCTATAATATCCAAAATAGACCACCCATATTGTATAAGTTTATTTATAATTTATATGTGGTATTTTCTTTGGAACATACAAAAGAGTAGTCAAAATGAACAAAGTCTGTTAATTGATTTATTGGGAGGTCAATCTGCTACATGTATTTTGTTGAATTGCTTCGAAAACCTCGTCTGACCCATCAGTCTGTCAATTGACGCAGGCCAGAACTGTCACGTCAAGAAAATGTTAAACCGCATTCTTATTGCATGATTAATCTCGAAATTGTTGATTTTTGAGCTTTTGAAGCAAAGCAGTGATTCACAATATAGATTATAAGTAAAATACTGAAAACACTTCTGCAAAAGAAAGAAATAAATAAATTAAAATAAATAAATACTGACTTTGTATCTAAGAAAATTGCAATTAGGTTAAGTGATAATCGTCAATAATGCTCTAAATGCATTATCAAAATAGTATAAGACACATGTTTGCCCTTTCTAAAGAAGAGGACCTTTATTGATATCTGATGGTTAATAATGTGCCTTTAAGATTTGAAATACCAAATATAAATAGTTAATAAATGAGTCCCAGTTTTAGATGTTGGCAGGCTGTTAACATATTATTACGTTTTTATCAAAACAACTTTCAGCAAGTATATATAAATGTTTGAGAAGTTGTCAGAGGAACATGACCGTTCTCCTAAAATGTGCTTCAGAATTGTGAAAAATTAAAATATTTTGTCTTTAAGTGAGGATTTGTTATAGTATTTGTCAGCAACAAAAAACATGATGAAATAAAAGTAACTTAATGTAAAAGAAATTATACAGTCATTGTGATTCCAAATTAACTTTTTATCAGACCAGATTAAATTAAAGTTGAAAAAACATACAACATATTAACAACGAGTTGAAGTAGTGAATTACCAATTTGGAAAATCTATTACATCAACGTTGAGAAACCTGTGGAAAATTTGACATGATCATACTAACTTGAAGAAAGATTATGTACCTACAGTTAAGGCAGGTGTTTTTATATATTACTTATTTTATATCTAATGTCTCATTACATTAATCAAAAACAACTTCTAAAATACATATAAATAAAAACTCTGGAAATTAAGCTGGTTGAAATTTGTGTGAGCAATAAATAATTTTATAACTCATGCCATCAGTTAAGCATGCAAGAGATTAGAATAATAAATGTTTCTTTTCCATAGGAACATGAAACTCTATAAATAATAACGATAATATCCAAAAATACCTATAATATCCAAAATAGACCACCCATATTGTATAAGTTTATTTATAATTTATAGGGGGTAATTTTTGGATATTATCATTAATATTGGTTATTTGATATAATTTCAAGTTTCTGTGGTATTTTCTTTGGAACATACAAAAGAGTAGTCAAAATGAACAAAGTCTGTTAATTGATTTATTGGGAGGTCAATCTGCTACATGTATTTTGTTGAATTGCTTCGAAAACCTCGTCTGACCCATCAGTCTGTCAAATTGATAATACTACGTACATGTATAACAACAATTCGTAAAAAATGGCCTACTTGATTTTTGTTCTATTTTATAAACATTGCAATTTAATGTTTGAATATATTTGCATTTCATTTCTTTGAAAATTCTCCAGATCGTTATCTATTATCAAAGCGCGACTATGACCGTTTCATAAAACTACTTCTATAAATAGATTTAAGGACTTTCACAATGTTAAGGTCATCATTATATATACTAAATAAATAAATAAAATACATTAACTACAAAATAATTTCCTGTAGAAGATACAAATGTAAGAAATAAATTACCGAATTTGAGTTTATTTTTGTTTTATCTTTTATACTGCCTTCCCAGCGGTTGAGGCGTAAAACTATTTCCTATTCTCATTCATGCGCATCACCGAAGGGGAAAGAAACCAGTATATGACTTTCCATGATAGAAATCGGAAGGTATTCTTGATCCCGAATTTATTTTTAGCTGTAAATCGAAGGGATTAATTGATAAAAATCGGATCCATGGACAAAAAAAGTAAACACAAATACCTCCGCGTCTACGGACGCGGAGCAACAAAAGTATAACCCAAATGCAATAGCCCCGAGAGACCTGCATGGCATGATTGGCTTTTGGAAAGGCGTTTTTCATTTCTATTTATAAAGCTTATGAAATTTCGTAAAACAACACCATTTTTAAAGCCATTGTTTTTGTTTGGAAAATCTTCGTATCAGCAGAAAGCTTTACTGTAACGTTGCGAAAATGACTGCAAGAGGCACGTGTGTTAAATGGTATATGAGTTGTAAAGATTTTCATGACAAAATACCATTAGTATGCAGGTTGTTCTTTACATAAAGTTATGGTATAAAGCTCTAATTAAAGGCAAATGATAAAAAGTGGTCGGCATGGCAAGGTCGTTTTTTTGTCGGTAATTTGTTAATCTGTATATACAGTGTGTAAATTTTACTTTAAAAAACATTCCTTTTTGCCAAAAGTTAAAACACAATCTACCTGATCCCGTTGTGGATAAAATCATTTTTCTGGAACTTTCTTTATAACAACATTTGTCTGATTCTGTTGCATTAGCTGGGATCTTCTCAGTTGCAACACTATAAAGGACAAAGCTCTAGCCCAAGGATAATATTCCCGAGAGGCCTCAGGGCTTGGTCCTTATTTTAAATCGGCAACTTGTTTTTTATGTATAAAATATGTATCAGTTTTAGAAATAATTACCATTTTCTGAAGGCAACTGTTATAACACCATTTGTCTGTCGCGTACAAGTCCTTGCATTATTTCAGATGGTCTATGTTACACTTAAATAAAGATAAACAAACTCAAAGTGCATGACCAGACGCGCGTACTAGCAGTCGGATAATAAATGAAATATGAGTGAAGATTATCAAAATATTTATCATTTCATAAATCATTTATGTTTTTATAATAAGGTTGGCCACACAAATAATTATAGCATACATCTCTCGCCCAATGTTTCACTTTAACAATAATAATAATAATAATAATGATAAATATTTATGCATAATCGATTTGGAAAAAAACAAACAACAAAAGCACGCAGGCCAGAACTGTCTCGTCAAGAAAATGTTAAACCGCATTCTT